CGAAATATTTTTTTTCTCTCTCTCTCTTTTCGATTTATCGATATTTGATTATTTATATGTAATAAATATGATCGATAACGCGTACAATTGTTTAAAACAATTTTATTTCTAAATTAATTTCTAAATTTTTTTCGAATCGAGTTTACGAATTTTTCGAGACTATATTCGAATAAAATACGCAATACGCAATAAATGATTTTTATTTTTAAGAGACTTTACGAGAAATGCTTACGGCAACGGAAAGAATATAAACAAAAATCACAAGAAATTTCTTCATCTCTCCTTCGATTATCCAATTATAATACACTGTCGACTATTAAAAATCACTATTGAAGAAATGGCGGAGAGACTCGAACCTGCTTCTTTGAGAAAATATGAAAACTGCATTAAGCTATTGCGAGACATTGATGCTTATATTTGTTGTTGACCATGAAAAAATTTTTATTTGATAAACAGGTATCGGGTTTTTTTAAACCAAAATTTACTCGCACATATATGGAAATTAAATTAGTCAGCAAAAATGGAGTGATAGCGTATCGGGCAACGAAGAACATCAAGGATAATATTAAACAATCGTGCAATTTTATTTAAATTATTTTATCAGGATGCAGATAAGAAAAAGATAATTTTCCTTAATTTGCTTATTATATCTAGATATTATTATCTGCAAAGAAAAAAGGAAAAAAAAATGAGAAAAAAATAGACAATTAACACATATAGAAGAGCATAATTTTGATAATTACGTTTCGACGAAATATCCTGCAATTTTTAAAACAAAACTCTTGAAAAAATAAGATCATTTTTATTTTTCCTTATTTTAAATTTATTTTAAATTTGATTCAAGAAAAGCGAAACTTTATGCACACGTATATATTGTGCGAGCAATAATAATATCATCATAGATCTTCCAATTTGAGACATTAATTATTAATAATTATCGTTGAATATTATTCTTTATTATTTTTTACATAAGAGATATATGGATATCTAAAGAAATATTATATCCAACAAAAAGCCAAGATTTTTCTTTTTAAATAAAATAATTTATCAAGAGATGATATAAAATATTCTCGAAAAAATAGATATTGAGTTATTTTCCTCTTTTCGCGACTCGAAAAATTTTGTTAAAATTATCTACAATCAATACGAAGCAAATAAATATGGTAAAGATATGGAAAAGTATGGAAAAAAGTTTGGTCCTTTCTCTTACGAAAGGTGTACAATTTCATTAATAAGAATGAGATTAAACGGATAGGATGCGGCGCGGCGATTCGAGACGCGGCAGCTAAGCGCGGTCGGCTTATGAATAAACAATGCGCCGTTAACGCGTTATGAATAATTAACCTGCACTCGAGACACGGACATCGCGCTCCGTGCATTTCAACAGGGTATCCCGTTGTCCATGCTTTACGACCACCTAGTAGATACACATATACGCGAATTTATGATTCACTCTTGAAATCGATCGTACGTGGAAGTCGACCGTTTTCTTCCTTTTATATGGAAAAAGAACGACGAGTAAAAAAAAAATTCTTGTCATCAACATGTACACGAGAAGCAAGCAAAGAAAAAAGATTGTATCGTCAACGTGTAAAGTGAAAAGTATTTAAAAAAAAGGAAAGATAATATAAATTTAATATTACTCTCTTAATTCTGTCATCCATGATATTTTCTAGATTGTTCTCGAATCTTGAAAATTGATGTGCAAAGAAAAGAGAGAGTTCGCGTTATCGTAAGCGATTCACGTCGCGAGGCGGTTCACCTAATACAGCCTAATGTAACAGTCGAAGTTGGCTTGACGCACACGATGGAATAAATAAAGTTGTAGGCCCAACTCGCGATCAAACATTTTTCAACGATTATTTGCGATTATTTCCAAACGAATTCCAATCGACTCGCGAAGTTTTTCTTCTCTAATGGTCGCCACTTCCCTTCTTCTCGCGATCGCCGATAGATCGGGTGTAAATCGAGAGATGTCGCCAACTGTCCGTGTTAAAGAAACGAATCGTTCGATATGATACGTGACTCGAAACTTGGTAGATACATCGAACGGTTCGATGAATATTGTCGAAGGTAGGGAAAGGAGGGAAAAGATGAGCCGTCTATCATTTACATCGTTTTATTAAACGTGTACAATACGTGATAAACTCGTAATCTTCGGTACGTGACTTTTTCGTATTTACGTGAACAGCTTTTCGATGTAGCAGTCGGTATATTTGTTACCGATATTGCATTCGTCCGTTTCCCCTTTGGCTGTACAACAAGAGACAAACGATATGGATAAAAATATATTAATTTATCAATTTCTTATTATTGTATCAAATAAAATATTAATTATAATTTTTAAATTAACGATAACGACTTTGACTATATATATAACAATTTTTCACGTTAAATATAATTATCTTTGTTTTTCATTTCGAAACGATTCGAAACGATCGAAACTATTCGATTTTTCAAAATTTTCTACGAAATGTAGAAATAAGAGAATTTCGAGGAAAATTGATAGAAGCGTAATCGAATCAAATAGCAAGTACTTACCATTCTCCATGCACTCATTCGCGATCCCTCTTACTAATTGGATATCATCCGCGTTGCCAGCGTGAACGACGTCTATCATCTTGTACACTGGTTCTACATTAAGTTCCGTGCCTTTCAACTAGGTGGAGAAAGTTGAGAAAAAAATGGTTAAAGCGAGTTGTCCGAGTTAATCGAATATTTAATATTACTCTTACCATGCCTATTCGTTTCATCACGCAGGCTTTCAAGCAACCAAGTTGCTTCATATCAGCTCCATTTTTCGCCGCTTGTATATTCGTTACGATATCTGAAATATAACGATTCGGTCGGCAAACAAACTATAAACTTCATCGATATTTCACTAATAACTAGATATGAAATGAAATCTTAATAATTTCCAAATATGTATCGATGATCCTAATTCTTTTATATGGAAAAAAAAAAAAAATCGATCACCTTCATTCGAAACGTGAAGTTCGTCGGCGCATGGCATTATATCAGGCATCAAATATTCCATGTACTTTGCGACTATGGTGTCTTGATCTATGCCACGTACAGCAGTCTGCAAATATAAATTGATTTATCGATTGATTTCTTCTCTCCTCCACCATGATCGATCGGTTAAAATAAATCGATTACGCTCGATTGTGCTTTTATTTTTACGAAATACTTTAGGAATTTGCGAATGTACGAACGAAATTAGGGGAAAACGATGCTTACCACAGCGGCTAGCAGACAAGTAACGGTGACGAGAGTGTTCATCTTTATAGCAACTTAATCCTCGAAATCGAGATCGAACGGTTTTCTATAGTTTCCAAAATGGTACTGTTGCGATGTACACCGAACTATGGATATTTATATCCGAAGGAAGCAGGATACGCTAGTTGCCACTGGGACAATAGCGGGGTGTTAAGGTCTAACATTTTAACAGCAGGAAACGAGATAATTAGATTTATCTACGCTACTTTTTACGTAAGATCGGTTCAAATACGGGCGAAACGCGTATGTAATTATTGCCGGTACGCGTTGAATTTGTCACGAGATAATGATTGTTTGTCGCGGGTTTTGGCGATCGTGGAACAAGGATCGTTCCTTCGTTCAAATTATGGGATCGAAAACGAGTCATCATCTACAATGATTGCGTTCTCGTGCACGCTGTAATCTCGAACGAGGGACTAAAAATTAAAAGTGACAATGTAATCGGGTGTTGCCGATTTCTTTGTTTGTTCATTCTCTTGTAGATACGTGTTCTTGGAATCTTTGATCGGCGAGTAACCAACAATTAACGAGACTTCCTCGCGATGTTATTTAATTGTTTGTGAAGAGAGATGAAAATATTTCGAGTTTCTTGTTCTTTGTAATATTTTGATCTTTTTGTCGAGGCTAAGATTTTATTTGTCTAATTTTATTTTTTCGGATGGAGATACATCGATTAATAAAATAAAATCGACAATTTTATAATTTATTCTATAATTTTTGTGTGCATTTTGATTTCTTTTTTTTATAAAAAAAAAATCTCTTATTAATTCTCTTATCGTATTTTATTTACATATATTGCGATTTATTTTATTTTGTTTGTATATTTATTTATTAACGGGAAGAAAAGAAACTTTAGCTTTATTAAAATTTTAATTGAGATTTTTTTACGATGTTTTTGAGACTGTTGTTTATTGCTAGGAAACAATATAAAAGTAATTTATTTGCTATTCGTAATTAGTATTAAAAAATGAATAAAATTAAAGGAAAAGTATTTCTTGAAGAGCAAGTTCTATGTAGGTAAATAATTTTTAACGTCACAATTAATCGCAGTGGCAAATATCAAAAATATAAAAGAAAAAAATAGAGATTTTCGGATTTTCGGATGATCGATCGACTAAATTAATATATTTATTTGTTCGAATGAGACCGTATGGTTATATATCGAGGCTTGATAATGCAATTCAATCGTAAAATTGAAAAATCAAAATGATGTTTCATTTCGTTTGATATCTTATTCCGTCTAGATAGAGAAAATTCAATTACATGCATATCTAAAAATCGATTTAATATTTAATATTATCTAATCCAATATATTCCATAACGTAAATTATCAAATTGTAAATACGCAAATTGTATAAAAGATTTTTCTTTATGTATGGTTCTCGACGAATAATATAATCAATCACTTAAACATAATTGTTCGAATAAAAATTCTATTTTGTGAAATTTTTTGCTTCTAAATTTTGAAGATTGTAAAGGAAAAATGCAAGAGATTTGTAATAATTTCATTGAAAAATTTACAAAAAAAATTAAGATACATTCAGGAATAATAAATTGAATTTATCATCTATTAAAAAATATTTATAATAATATGAAGTTCTTCAAAATTCTTCAATATTGTTACATAATTACAAATATAAGTTAAGTGATAATAATATTAATTATAGAAGATTACAAAGGTGGGAAATATTAAAGGAAGAAAAAACAACAATATTTATTTGTATAATAAAATAATTTATCAAATTATAAAGTTTAGGAACACAGTAATATTTAAAAGCTAGTCCTTCAATGTAAAAGACAGCCATTCGTAGATCTGTGATAAAATTATTTGCGCATGGAAATTTGAAAAAAAAAAAATTTTTCGAAAAATTATCGATCGAGGACCGATTATAGAATAAAACATGGTCGATGATATTTCTTAGACTCTTCTACATTGCGGTTTGGTCCTGGTATTTCTGCACACTGCTTTTCCACGGTTATGAACGTGATGGCCAAGATAACGACGATGTGCAGGTGTGTAGAAATTTCTCTTGCTTCCTCGATAATATCGCGAGTTCTCTATTGAAAGATCGTTCATGGCACTAAATAGAGCTGCAACAAATATTACAGATACTTGAAATTACATTAATATTCGATCGTGATTAGGTAAATACTAGTTACTTGGAAATTTTGTACAAAGATATTTCGAAACCAAAACAAAATAATAAAAATAATAAAAAATTTAAATACGATAAATCGGTTTAAGTAAGTAAAATGAATATTACGAAATTACTGCACCCAAAGTATTATTTTCGGCGTAATCGTATTTAAAAATCACCTCCTTGTCATTTTCATAGATG